CGCGCTGGGGCTGTTTGCCCGGGGCGGGGGAGGGTGGGGCCCCGCAGTCGCCCCCCGGCTGGGGGCCAGGCCGGGCTGGGAGCGCCCAGGGAGCTGCGGGGCGCAGAGGGCAGAGCGCGGGCATAAGCGGTGAACGGAACTCAGGTTTTTCAGTTACCGTTTTAGTTCCTAACCGAATTGGAGCTGCCAGACATTTCTTTAAAGTAACGTACTCTAGAGCTGTAGAACTTGATTAACTTAATATTTTATCATTTTGGAGTACTCGCGGTTCGTGCGAATAAACATTTCTACCTTAAAAAAGAAAAAAAAGTCAAGCTTTTGTAATTAAAAATAGTGCTGGGGCAAATGTAATGCTGTGGAATGTATTCTGTGGTTATGTCATTTAACATTAAATGCAAAAAGCAGAAGGAGTGTGGTCTAATGAACGCAGTACATAGTTGGAGGGTGAGGCGACTTCGTTGCTAATCATAGTTTTTCTGGTACGGTGTGGCTGGCCCTTAAGCAAGTTGCTTTGCTTCTTTGTGGTTTGTAAAGCTAAATTGATGTGGTGTGCTGGGGGGCAGCCTGAGAATTAGTAGATGTATTTGTAAATAACCTTAATAATTTAAATACTAAATGCTTGGTGCTTAATACAGGTCTATATGGTTTTGTTAGCTAATGGAAAAACAATGAATATGCAGTTTAATTCTTTCCACTGAGTTAAGTTACGTCTATTTTGTATTTGCTGATGAGCTGTTCTTGAAAACCTACCTCCTGGCTTCTCTTTCTGGGGGAATGCACTGAAAGTTTCAGAGAATTACTTCATGTCAGCAACAGTGCATTTCTGGGACTCTGTAGCTAATGCCATGGACTTAAACAGTGTTTTCCTCAGACTGCCTGCCTGTGCTGCAGATCATGAGGAGTATTCCTGTACTAAATAGGAGTAGTCAAGGGTAGGTCCTTATGCATAATTAAGTTTAACATAAATAATGCAGGTTCAGTGATCTAGTGGAATTCATAAGACCACCATGGCTTTTTTTCTGTCTTATCTTAAACATTATTTAAAGCATGCATTTTTTTCTTTAGCAGGTGGGAAGAATGAAAGGAAGGAAGGATGAAAGAATGTTGAACCTTTTTGTTTGGCTGTATGATGGAAGGAAACAGGACAGAGAACCTCTGCAGTAGATCGTTTGGATGGCTTCAGCGACAAGAGAATGATGCTAAACCATGGCTCTGGAAACTTTCTAATTGCTTTTCTGCTGCTGAACAGTCTTTGCCTTGCAGTGCAAAAACGGTAATTCATTGCTATACTAAAAGCATAGCTGGTGTCCTGGTACAGAGTGGTGTAACTAATGGCAGTGTTATTGCTGGCTGAGGGGGTGAGTGGGGAGAGGAGACAGCAGTTACCATGATAAGTACAAAATCTACCTGGGAATTTAAGGTCTTTAGTTGTGTTTACAGCTCTCTCATCATTGTTGGTGAAAGTGGGCAAGTTGCTTTGCTTAGCAAGCTTTACTCTCTACAGCTGTTTGGAATAATAGAACTGACTGCCTAAGAAGTGCACAAGGCAGCTTCTTGAAAGCTTTACAAAGTTATTGCTGAAGAGTAGAGTAGAGATGTAGTCTTCACGCTTCCAGATTTTATCAATATAGTTTGGAGGCAAATTTAGAATTTTCTGAGTTATTGTTATACATTAGTTACAGCAATTGTGGATACTGTTCTTCACAAATGTCTAATTTTTCCTTGTTTCCACATCTTTGAATGTTCCTGTTTTGTAACTGTATATAGTTCTATACATTTAAGATGCAAAGTGTTAAGGAATAGAAGGAATAGTACAACGTAGGCAAGCAAGCTCCAGCTGTTAAGTAACACTCAATCATGCACGTTCAGTCTGACTTTGAGTAAAAGACACGGGGGAAACCTCGAAGCGTGTATCCTGTTGGGTTGCTGTTCTCATGTGTAGGGGGGTTTGGAAGGGAGCTGCCATAAATTCTGGGATTTAACGTATAAACCAGTTCTGGACAAGTTTTTGGCAGAGTGTGTCCTCAATTCATAAGGTATGACATCAGGTAGAGAGGATTGGTTTTGAACTTGTGTAATCAATTGTATGTTACTGTGGAGCAGGAAATGTGTTAAATGCCATTTGGAAAGTAAAAGTTGTTCAAAGTACTGGCCTAAAGCTCTGGAGCAGTGAGGTGTATGCAGGTTAGCTCTACTGACCTTGACTGTGCTGGTGCTTCTCATAACCTTGCTTAGTTTTCACTGCTGCCATTTAAAAAAACTATTTGTATAATGCCTTTCTTCATGTCTGTGCACGTTGGTATCTTAAATCAGAATAGGCAAAAAGCACTTACATAGTTGTTGTGAAAACTTAGTCTTCTGTCCTCTGTTAGTCTACCTTCTTGATATAATTTCTATGTTTTTAAAGTCTTTGTCTTTTAATGCATTACTTCTAAAACTTTAATACAATTTTAAAGTCTTTTGTTCAAAGTAAAAGATGATTAGTTATGTGCTTCAGACTGTGGAGTTTTTTTTTACTTTACGTCGTGTCCATATTTGCTCTTAAAAGAAATAATTTTATTTTTGCTTTGCAACTGCAGAGTGTCTCTCAGCTGCAGCCTAACAGTTCTCTGCTTTTCAAATTCTATTTTACAGAATTGCTATTTGATTTATAGCTTTTTGGCTTTATTGCTTCCAAAATCCACTGATAGCAGTACACCTCAGACTGGCACATATAGCTGGCATGTTTCTTTTAATATTTTACATGTTCAGACAGTGAGGTGATAGTAATCATAAAGATAAGGCTTTTAAAAATTTCTGTTACTGTCAAAATTGTAGCAGTCTAAAAATATGCTTATTGATACTATAAAATTGTCAGTTTATTTATGTACCTGAATATAATTGAGCTTTTATTTTCTAGAAAGATTACATGGAGAACAAGAAAGCTGCTGTAGAATTGAAGGATGCTTCATCTCCTCATAATGCTGGCTCTAAACTGTTTCCGGCAGTACCGCTTCCTGACGTTCATCCTCTTCAGCAACAGCAAATACAGCTTTCACCTGGCCCGAAAGTAAGCTGCTGTGGTCATGGCTCTGACTCTTCTTGCACTCCACAAATGCATTGTGGTGGTGGTGGTGGTGGCAACTTGATTCACCCTGGCACAATATTAGACTCAAAAAGCACTGGGACGATTACTTGTCAAGTAGGGTCAGGATTTGCTTATCAGTCTGCGCCTTCACTGAAGAACCCTCCAGCTAGAAGCAATTTGGCAGGCATTGCGAGCGAGTTCCCTGGCATGTGTGTAGAAAACAGTGTATCTTCTTGTCAACATCTGCCCTGTTGTGGAAAGCTCCATTTCCAGTCCTGTCATGGTAACGTGCACAAACTGCATCAGTTTCCAGCCCTCCCGAGCTGCACATCTTCTGGCTATTTTCCTTGTTCTGATTTCACAAGTGGGGCTACAGGCCACTTGGATGAGCATATTGCACAGTCGGAGCTAACGTCACGCGTGTGCGCCAACCCTTTGCACCTAAACATGGCACCTCCAGTTTGTTTAAAGGGCTCTCACTACTGCAGTGACTGCTTGAGCAAGGTTTGTACACATCACATTTGTTATTCGTTAAGCATGGTATGTGGTTAATGTTGCAATAATGTTACTTGAGCAAAACACCAGCTTCCATGGGCCACAGCTTGCATCCTTCTAGTTGTTGATGCATAGTACAAATGTACCAGATACTGTTTTTGAAGATGATCTCTTTTCTGAGGTAACATTCAGTTCAATAGGAAAACAAACGAGGCTATCGCAATGTTTAGCTTACAGGGGATCTGTAATGTCCTCAAGCAGTGTTTTGACTGGATTTGAAAGACAGTCCTCTCTTCTTGACAGCTCCAATTAAAATGTTCCATAGTAGTGACTCCTAGAAAAGGCTAACAGCAGTTAGCACGTGTCCTTGGGCAGCTGACCAATGAAGATCCATTTGTAAGTCAGGTGAAATGTCTGATGCTGTAAGGATATTCTAGTTTTGGTTTGGTTTGATAGGTCTTCGTTCAGTCTTCCCAAATTTGTAATTACACTTCATTACCAATTTGGTACACTTCAGAACTGACTAAAACTGTGTTTGAATTTTCATAGGAAATTCAAGTGAAATAATGTACTCCCCTTTGCAAGACGTGTAACTTAAACTTCTAAATTTGAGTTTCCAATGTAAAAGTGAAATGTCTTCATTTCAGTACACTAAATGGTGTATTCCAGTATATTTGGAATTATGTTCACTATTTTTGGAGGGGAAAAGGTGATTCAACCTTGTACTCTTAATTGTGCTGATCGATACTGTTTTTAGTTAACTTTGTACATCTGAACTTGCATTTTTTTGCAGAAGGGAAACTGAGTGTTTCTAGCATGGAACAGTATCTGTTAATACTGTATACTAAGTGAACGTGTATTTTGAAAAATTGTCCCAACAGCCAACCAGAAACAGCCTAGTTGATGCTGCTAAAATCTGGCCAAATATTCCTCCTCCGAGTGCGCAGACTGCACCTGTTCCTATCCCCATATGTAATGGCTGTGGAACCAAAGGGACAGGAAATGAGAAGAGTTTGCTGCTGGCGAGCAGCCTTGGCAAATCACCACAGAAATACGGTAAACCACATTTGTTTGAAACTTCTCCTTAGTGGATGTACTCCTTAAATACTGTGGCACATAAAGAGTTCTCTTAAATTGCACTGTTCTCTGGAGACTTCTATAAAGTCATAGAAGACTAAACAGTAAAGAAATACCTTCTGTTTTGCAAAGTCATAACTTGGATTTACCTGTTTTCACTACCCAGTTAACTTACTGTATTGTTTGCGTAGAGTTTTGATTTTTTTACTATTACATTTTTTTCAATTTTAAGAACTAGAGAAATTCTAAGGACTTGGAAGCTGTTTCGTTCTGGTGGTGTATAAAGAAATTATCTTCAGCCATACTTTGAAAATAATTTTCTTAGTCTGTAATGTCTGTTTTTACTTCATAAGCAGTAAAGGTGAAGTCATGGAAGACTAAGAAATTGGGTAGTTTTACTATCATGTGTTATGTGGAGTGACTGAGAGAACTGGGGTTGTTTAGCCTGGAGAAAAGGAGGCTGAGTGGAGACCTTCTTGCTCTCTACAAGTACCTGAAAGGAGGGTATAGAGAAGTAGGAGTTGGTCTGTTCAACCAAGTAACAAGTGATAGGACAAGAGGAAATGGCCTCAATTTGTGCCAAGGGAAGTTTAGATTGGATATGAGGAAGAATATGAGGAAGAATTTCTTTACTGACAAGGTTTTCAGGCATTGGAAGGGGTTGCCCAGGGCAGTAGTGGAGTCCCCATCCCTGGAGGGATTTGAGTCATGTAGACATAGTGCTGAGGGACATGGGTTAGTCAGGGACTTGTCAGTGTAAGGTTAGTGATTGGACTCTTCCAATCTAGGCAATTCTGTGATTTTTAAGACTACACCCATTTTTTTTAAGGTGCAACACCCTAATTAAGTGTCCTTACAAAATGCAATTCCAGTGAATCTTGTAGGAGAGCAACTAGTCAGCATATATCCAAACATGACATTTATCTGTTCTGCTTAATTTTATATTCTCAGCTAACTAATTCTTAGCTTGTTTTTGACTTGTGAGGATTCTGTGTCATTCCACATGTTTCTTTTCCACTTGTTCTGTGGGGATGGAATGGGTGTATAATATTGATTCAAAATTAAATTACATATTCAGCGTGCTGAAACACATGGAAACTTTATTTGTGCTTCTTAGTCTGTAATAGCAAAATCTCTTAACCTTGTTCTTCTGAACTGTAGGATACCTTTGTGTTTGTTCCATACTGCCTTAATTTTTATAATCACTGTCATTATACTGGTAATCTTACCCAGTTTGGTTTAGATTCTTTGTCATTAGACACACCGTAAATGATATAGCACCCGCTGAGTTTAGTGTGACTGAACTTCAGACAATTTTCATGGCACATACCACTTCAGCATTTGATAAAATTTAAAAAAATACATTACTTGGTTGTTAGAGAGCTTGAAAGTAAAGCTGAAGTTGTCTTGCATCTTTATCCTAAATTAACAATGACTAAATTTCTGTTTAAGACTGATTTGAGGTATAAAGTTTCTCCCTTTAAGAGGAACTTTTAAAATATCTGATTTGTTTTTTAGATT